GGAGCCCGCACACGACACCGGCTACTGGCCGCGGAGTGTCTGCTTCCTGAAGGACGCCGCGGTGGAGTCTCTCCTTCCCTCCAGGCGGACGGACGCCTGATTTTCCCTTCGTTTCCATCCAGGCGGGTTGCTGCGCGATGACACCACAAAGATGCAGTTGTTTTTACCATGGAGGGGTAATGTCTGCAGGGTTACGCATTGGGAATATGAATGGCGGATGCAATGGGAAAAGGAGCGTTATGGTTCTTTTGTGCCGTGCGAATTGCGGGGATTTTTCATAAAGCATGTAATTTGCTTTTTTGTGTTTTCTTGTGTGGGGAAACTGCTATGATGCATCGCTGTTGTGGCGTGTATGATTTGGAGTCCTTGCGTGTGGCCGCTGCTTTACCGAATTCTCTTCCCACTTGTGTGTGTCAGGGGCGATATGCCCGCACGTCCTTTTGTCAAGTGTGTGCGGTGACGGCGGTGCCACACGGGCGCGGGGACCGTAGCGAGCGGGATGCATGGGCTAACCCTCCGCGCTCACCACGTTGTTGTTATCGTTTGCTCTCTCCAAAACTGTGCTGGGTGTATGGCATCCACTTGCCGTCGTTGCGGTGGTCCTCGTGCATTTGGTGTGCATCACACACCGTGTGGATGACTCTCGTGCTGAGGCTGTCAGTCATGCCTGTGCCTATTGTCTCTTACTCTTATTCCTTTTTTTGATTAGTGGTCAGTGTTTGGCTTTAACTCAATCCAACTACGAAAACAGGTATATAATCGATTCTCACGCGGAAGAGAATAATAAATAGTCTTCTCTCAGGCGCGGAATTCAACGAAGGTGGCTGAGGGATGTACTTGCTGGAGGGACAATACGAGTCTGTGTACAATGCGAGGTGGAGCCATGTCGTGGAAGTTACTGGCGGCGAGGGGACGGGAATGGAGGCTTATGAGGGGGAACCACCGCAGCCATGGACGTACAAGGCAGTTGGCAACACCCTCGAAAAGGATGACGGTGTGCAGCAATCCGGTGCACCGCGTCTCAGGCTGATGGTGCTCACCTCGGACAAGGCATGGCCGTACTCGTGGGGTGCGTGTGAATTCAATCGTGACTGCTATGTGAACTGTGAGGTGGAGCGCGTGTGGCAGATTGTCAAGGGCGTTGTAGACAAATGGTCCAGCGGTCACGGTGAGACCGACTTTACGCCTGATCCGTGTGTGTTGATTGGGACGCCCGGGATCGGGAAGTCGATGGCTGCCGGTTCGTACCTCCTCTATCAGCTGCTGCACTACGATGCGGAGAAACTCCCTGTGGTTGTGTACTATATTGCGGATCAAACATTTCTGTTTGACAAGACCACCAAAAAGTTGTCAGAATACTTGGGTAAGGGCAGTACCCTCGATGTTGTGGACAGGCTATCTTGGCGCGGGGTGAAGGGGTATATTATCTACGACGTGGCAGAGGAGGTGTATCGTCCGTCTGTTGGTTTGCCCTGCAATGGATGGGGCATGATTGTGGTAACATCACCAAACGAGAATAAATACGAATTGTGGGCGAACCAAAACTTACCCTTACAAATCGTAATGAATTGCCCTGACGAGAGCGACGTGAAGGCAATGTGCGTTTGGGAACAACGCAGTAAGCCTCCGCAGCAGCAAGCGGAATACTGGCGAGAGGTGAAGGGTCGCATGGACAAAGTTGGACCGATTCTTCGCTACATCTTTGATGAGCAAGCATATGATGATCGGATTGAGAAGTGTCACGAAACCGTGGAAGAGACGATTTCCCCGGAAACTCAGTATTACACTGGTTTGGGGAATTTTACGATGTGGTGTGGTAATAGCGTGTTCCACTGGCTTGCGAAGGTTGTACGAATACGAGAGGAAGTTTGCAAGGGTGAATTTTCTTTGAATTTACCGATATCTGCCCATCTCTGCAATAAAACATTGTGCATGTTGGCAAAGTTAATGCAGCAGGATGATTTTAATTCACTCATATTGAGACTCAAGCATAATCTTGTATCGGAAAATATGGAACGGTGTACCGTGTTTGCATTTTTGGATGCGGACTTCATAACTGCAATACGACACAAAGTGAGGGAGCTGAAGCGAACAACACGACGTCAGCCACACCGCAGTGCGCTGGAGGTGTACTCACAGGAGCGCCCCACCAGGCACCATGTCTTACCGCCACCGCATTACTTTTCCGAGAAGGTTGGCGTAGATTGCTGTGTGTTGTACGTACCGGGGGTGGAGGACTTTCCGTTGTTGGACGCCTTCTTTTTCGTGAATTCAAATCCGAGGACGCTGGTTGGGCTGCGGATGTCCACGGCAAGTGAGCACCACACCACCGCCAGCACTGTGGGGCAGTTCACTGAGTACCTGGCGGCGTATTTTAACGGTTGGGAGGAATTGTCCCAAGAATTGTCGTGGGAGATAATTTATGTGCAGCACGCAGACGGCACGCCGATGAATGACTGGCAGAGATGTGATGTTGTCAATACCGATGGTGTGAGCGAGGAGGAAGACCAGAGGATTGCGGCGTTCTGGAAGGGAAGGGTGCACCAGTACCAATTGGCAATATCACCCGGAGACTTTAGAAGAGACGAGGCTCTCCGAAGTGAGGTGTAACCACAGAAATGGGAAAAGCAAATTAGGGAGGGAAAGGGGCAGTTTTGATTTCTGGTAAAAAAATATTGGGTGATTTATATATTTTTGGATACGTGTGTGTGTGTGCATACGGTGCAGGTGCACCAGGACCAGACGGCAGTAAGGCACACAGATGCCACAAATGCCTAACGCTATCGAACATAACAGTGACAGAATAAATTAGGGAGGGAAAGGGGTTGTTTGGTTTCTGGTGAAAAACATTGGGTGATTTTTATATAGTGTGTTAATTGTGTGTGTGCATACGAGGCTTAATTGGAGAACTGCCTCGGTATGAGGGAATCATTGTGGCTGGCGGTGTCACGGCGTTACCGCATTGTCCATTTTATTCTATTGTGTTCTAAGGCCCATCACTAACAGAGGCAGCTTTAAGGGATGTACGAAAAATTAGTTCTATTGGGGAAGCAGTGCGCTCAGTGTGACCGCATGGAGTGGGGCGCCGCGTCGTGGATGGATGAGGAATTGCTTCTGCGAGTGGCTCTTTGGGTGATTGCTTGCTCCGTGTGCGTTGTGTTTGTTGGCAGCGGGCTGTGGCCGTATGCCGTTGGCCGTGGGATTGAACTGGAGGCGGTGGCGGTGTGTCCCTTCTCTTCCCCTTCCATTGGTGGTTGATTGCTGGCGGTGTGTGCGTTTGTTGTGTGGAGGGCCGAATCCTCTCACCCGCGGACTGACGGCGCTGCGATGGTGTTTGTGTGTGTCAGAGGGCTGGTGTGGGCGATGGTCCTCCGTGCTGCCCCTTCCGGATTGTCTTTTGTCCCGCTCTCTGCGTGGGTGCTCTGCTCTGCTCCTCACTGACCTTTCTTGTGTATTGCCGCTGTTGCTGTCTTTCTATTTCTTGCACACACACACGCTAGGAAAGCAAGCAAACGAACGCGAATCGCAACTGTGAAATTCGAAGGCTCTGAAAGGACCAACAACACACACCGCACACACACACATATTTATATGCTCTCACGTGTTGCTGCTGTGAAGGCACCCCGCACACACAACCGTCGCCGCGTGACCGGATCCAGCGGAAGGAGGAGGGAAGGAGGAGAGGGTGAGCCGCAGAGGCCCAACATGTCCCGGCGTGTGTTTGCTTCCGCGGTGCTGCTCCTCCTCGTCGTGATGTGCGGCAGTGGTGGGGCTTCGAACGCCGTGAAGAGTAATTCGGGGAATGCGCAATTGCCTCATACGGTCGATCTATTTTTGCCGAATCAGACGCTGGTTGTACCGAAAGGCGGAACGTCTCAAGAGACGAAGAGGGATGCATTTGCTTCACCCTCTCTCGTCAGTGCTGGTGGAGTAATTGCTGCTTTCGCCGAGGGTCACATGTATGCCGAATATGTCGTTGAAGGTAAATCAACTAACCCGTCTTCGGATGTTGTTGCGGAGTACATTGACTCGGCGTGGGAATGGCCCACTCTTGTTGAAAGGGTCGGTAAAGGAACATGGAGAGCGCACACCGTGCTTGGCAAAGCGGAGGGAAAGAAGGGTTTGGATGTTGTGCTCCGCCCCACAACAACCATGAAGGGCAATAAGGTGTTTCTTCTTGTGGGAAGCACTGATTTGTCCTATGTAAATGGGAGTTGGGAAGAGGGCAGATACGAACTAAAACTGGTTGTTGGTGAGGTCACGAATGCCACGGGCGGCGAGCCGAGTGAACGGATAAAATGGGGCGAAGTTCAATCGCCGGTGCAGCAGACTACTTTAGCTGCTCACAAAGGTGAATGGACGGAGTGCCTTGCTTCTGGTGGCTCGGGTGTTCTGATGGAGGATGGCACCATTGTGTTTTCTCTGATGGCGATTAATGAAAAAGATGATGGCGTTTTCTCCTTGATTATTTACTCGAAGGACAACGGCAGTACCTGGTCGCTCTCTGAGGGCACTTCTCATCTGAAATGCGGTGCACCCCGCATCACCGAGTGGGAGGGGTCACTTCTCATGATTGTTGACTGCGAGAAAGGCCAGAGGGTGTACGAGTCGCGTGACATGGGGACAACGTGGACGGAGGCCATCGGGACGCTTCCAGGCGTGTGGGTCAACTCAGGATCGGGAGCCTCTCAGGATTCAAGCCTGCATGTGGATGCTCTCATCACCGCGACCATTGAGGGCAGGAAGGTCATGCTGTACACACAGCGAGGGTACGCCTTGGGGAAGAATAAGGCCAATGCGCTCCACCTTTGGGTGACGGACAACAACCGCTCGTTTTCTGTTGGACCGGTTGTCATGGACAATGCTGGGAAGGAGGAGCTCGCCAGCACCCTGCTGTACTCGGATGGCAAGTTGCATCTTTTACAACGGAGGGTCAGTGGTGAAGGCAGTGTCATTTCACTTTCCCGCCTGACGGAGGAACTGAAGGAAATTGAGTCCGTCCTCAGTACTTGGGCGCAAAAGGACATTTTCTTCTCCAGCTTGTCTATACCCACGGCGGGTCTGGTGGCAGTTTTGTCAAACGCATCGGCCAGCGATGGCACGTGGAACGACGAGTACCTTTGCCTGAATGCAACGGTGACGAACGCCACGAAGGTCGAGGATGGGTTTCAGTTGACGGAGCCTAACTCCAGGGCAGTATGGCCTGTGAACATTCCGGATGATAATGTGCGTCATATATCCTTGAGCCACAACTTCACACTTGTGGCGTCGGTGACCATCGAAAAGGCTCCGAGTGAGAACACTCCTCTCCTGACTGCGGTGTTGGGTGACGCTGGGCCCGAGTATTTCATGAGACTGTCGTACACCGCGGATAACAAGTGGGAGACGATGTTCAAAGGCGGTAAAAAAACAACAACGGAAAGCAGGCCTTGGGAGGCGGGGAAAGAATACCAAGTGGCACTCATGCTGCAAAGCAACAAGACCTCTGTGTACATTGATGGTAAGTCGCTGGGGGAGGAAGAATTGCCGTTAACAGGTGAGACACCACTTGAGCTTTTTTTGTTTTGCTTTGGCGCGTGCGACATTGATGGTGATGAGGAGAAGGCGGCCAATCCGAAGGAGATCGGCAAAAAGCCTCGTGTGACGGTGACGAACGTTTTTCTGTACAACCGCCCACTGAATTCCACTGAGATGAGTGCAATCAAGGACAGGATCCCCGTTCCGACGAGAGCTCCAGAACCACAAGTGAAAATTGCACCCAAACCTGTCGCACCTGCTGCACCTGCGGTGCCTGGCCCACGGGAAGTACCAGCAGCACCGGGGAGAACCGCCAATACCCAAAATGCGCCAGCGGGACGCTTGACTTCTGCTGGGAATGAAGGGACGGCACGAGAAACGGGTGATGGTGGGGCAAATGGTGATGCTGGTTCCGCGTACGGGAGGGTGCTGCTGCCGCTGCTTCTGCTGGGACTGTGGGGCTTTGCGACTGCGTGAGGAGTGTGCGGCCTCAGTGTGGAACACTTGTGCCCTCTTCCACACCGACACCATCCGGTAATGAATTACTCTCCGCAAAGAACAATTCTTTTTTTTCTTTCCCCCTTTTTTTGCTTTTGGGGGCAACCACTATGGAACTCTTTTTCTTTTCTACTTTTCCCTCTTTTAATTGTTTCTTGCTGCACTCTTCCTGTGAGGGATGCCGTGTGTTTCCCGCCCAACTGCTCCACTCGCACACCCACCGACACGCTCATGACGACGGCCCTGTGCGCCTCGCCTGCTGCACGCATGAGGAGGGGCCGCGACGAACGGCGCGCTGAGGGAGCCGTGACGTGTGGGCGTGCGACGAGGGCCGGTGGGGCGGAGCACACATTTCTTCCCTCTTGTTTTGTTTTTAGCGGTCAGGGCGGGCAGACACCCGCAGCGCCACACACACAGCCACACCCTGCCGCTTTAAAAAAAGTAATTTTACTTGCTCTCTTTGACTTTTTTTTCTTGTTTTGCGTGTTTTTTTTTTTTTTTTTGCGCTGGCGCGCCCTTCGGGGTTGGCCTCGTGAGCATTTCTCTCCCCCCTGATGTGTTTTTTTTTCTGCGCTCACTCCCCCGATGGAGAGACGCGACTGCCGTCATGTCTGCGTGCTTCTCTCAGTCCCCACACACACACGAGTGACTGTGCTCTGGGGGCCACACTCACGCGCCGATGAGAGGGCTGAGGGGAGCAGCAACACGCAGATGGCCCCATGAAATATAAACGATGTGCGGACACATGGAGGGTCAGACGGTTGAAAGACACGTAAATATCTTTTTAATTTTATTTTCGGACAAAATATGCAGACAATTTCTGGAGCAACATAGTATTTGGGTGCTTTTTTTGTGTGTGTTTTTTCTTTCTTTCTTTTTTTTTCTTCTTTACAAAGTGTGTAGCCGTAGTAGAGGACGACTTTTTTCATTTTTTTTTTTTTTATTATCTTTTCTTGTTTTTTTCTTTTTCTTTTCAAAGTGTGAGGGGTGGAAGGGTGAAGATGAATGTTTTTAAAATTTTAATAAATTTTTTATGAATTGCCGCTGCTTTGTCTGCAGTGCAATGTCATGAGCTTGAGCAGTCTTTTTCTCTTTATTTCTGCCATGCACTTCTGCTGTACATTTTTGTTTGTGCGCCCCTTCACATGCTCCGCTCCTGTTTTTACTTCTTTGCCTCGTGTGTCTGCAGGCACACACAACCACATGCACGCACAGAATGCACATTGCAGTGGATTTGGATGCTTCTTTTGTAGCGTGTGCTGGCGGTTGCGGGTGGCTGCTGCTTCTTCCGTGGGCGTGAAGGGAAGGAGGAGAGAGGGAGCGCGCACCGCGAGTCACTTTTGCTGTTGGCGTGCTGCACCGCCTGTGACTTCTTTGAGTTGGGCACCGAATCCCATTGTGGGTGTGATGGCTGGAAATTTTGTCGCCACGTCATGGCTGGGTGAGGATCCGCTTCCGCGTGTGGCTCTTTGGGTGATTGCTAGGTCCGTGTGCGCTGTGTGTTGGCTGCGGGCTGTGGCCGTATGCCTTTGGCCGTGGGATTGAACTGGAGGCGGTGGCGGTGTGTCTCCTCTCGTCCATGTTGGGTGACTGTTGGCGGTGTGCGTTTGTTGTGTGGAGGGCCGAATCT